TTTTTTTTTTTTTTTTTTTTTTTTTTTTTTTTTTTTTTTTTTTTTTGCCAATGCAGAAACAAAAGTCCTGGGCTGGAAGTCTTTCTTGGACAATGTATTTTGTTCAGCTTTTAGAGCCTTCACTTGTTGGACTTTCGTTCATTTTCAGGCTTAACCATCAAAATTTTGCTGTGATAGTGTCAAATTATCTTTTGATCCACTGGACCCCAGCATAGAAATATAAACTTGACCCTTAGAATGTGATTACTTGACCAGTACATGTATATGACAAACTGATTTTTCCAATTTTTTCTTTTTCCTTCCAGTCACTCTTCAAAGTTCTGTGAAGAGCTTCTACACACGTGTACCATTCCGGAAAGTAGCAGGAATCTCAGTGAGGAATAAGACTGACATGAGCAGAAAAGCTGTTTCAGATGGGTAGGACGTGAATGTTCCTTTGTTTTTCCTGGAGCTTTAACCATGCCTGGAGTACCATAGACCCCATTATACAGATGAGGGGGATGAGATATGTTTATCCAAAACCATAATTTAGGAGTATAAGATAACACGTGATTTAAGGAAATGTATCATTGAATTATAAATAATAATGTATATAATTACTAATTATATGTATGAAAATTATTATTTCTGCTGCTATTACATTGCTAGGTAGCTAGTTAAATCTCTTATCAATAATATACTGAATTAATTTAGGCTGATATTTTTAGGGCAGATATCAAAATAATCACCTAAGTTATTAGGTGTAGCCTTGATACAACCAAACATAATTTCATCTACATATGGAAAATGCATGGAAGTGTGTATGCAATAAGAACCAGACTGGTTCTTCAGCCTTTTTGTGAAAGCTCTCTACAGATTCTCAGTGTCTCTCCCATGTGCAATATCCTCTCTCCTCCATCACAACCACAGATTATTAGTGACTGAGAGCAATTTTCTTCCTTCCCCAGGTTTTTTGAATGTGAGCGTTGGTGTGATGCTGACCCCTGTTGCACAGGATTTGGCTTTTTTAATAACTCCCAGCTGTCAGGTATTTTTCCTCTATTTTTATTTTTTTAGGATAACTTCAGTCTTTCTTCATTATCCAAATTTTACCATTCTTCTGCTCTGAAGAGCACTTTGAAAGTCCTTGAAGATCTCACGCATCTCTCTTTAGCAGCTTTTTGAGTAACCATAACCATTTCTGAGAGTTCAGCCCAATGTCACACTCCACATCTCAGAAATTATTGAGAAAACTTCGTGAGTCCTTAAGAGGCTGCAGTTCCAACAGCAAGAAATCCAAACTGATAAAACTCCAGTTACTACTCATTTATCACCCTCTCTTCCGAAATATTGCTTGACACCGTTTTGGGACCTTTTTTCCCCTTTTTTGCAGTTTCTTTTTTTAAAGACTAAAGGACTTAGAAACCTAACTCTTAATGTGTCTGTGGATACTTTGGGACAGCTGAGCCTTTTGGCTTTCTTGGATGTCTGAACTTCTCTGCTCCCAAATTTTTGTCTTCTGCTTGAGGAAGATTGGTTTTGGATAGAGCTTGCCCATCTGTTCCTCCTTAGGATTTTAGCTACTTAAGAAGTCTCAAGTAGGAGTTCTGTTAGCCTGCAGAAATC